CATCCAGGCCCTCACGACCAGACTACCGTTCAGTTTTCCCCTAAGCCGTCAGACTCCTGAACACTCAGTGACTGGACACAAACACATGCACACCTTCATACACCAAGGTACTTTTCCACAATGCTCAGTCTTCTGCATAAGCCGTCATTGTTGCACTTTTCTGTTGCAGTGTTGTGTCTGTATTTTCTGTTCTGTCTGGTGTTCACTGTCTTCGTTTGGTTTTTGCAGCTTCTACACACTTGCACTTTATGTAGTCCTGTGTTGATTGTGTGTCATATGTAGCACCCTGGTACGGAGGAACGTCACCTCATTTCACTGTGTACTGCACCACTGTACGTGGTTGAAATGACAGTAAAGCAACTTGACTTGAAAAATGAACCAAGATGGAGCTGAATGCTTTACAATCAGAGACCAGGTGAGTCTCTCTCACAAACAGTCTATTTTTGTTAGAATTGATACTCGTGGATCTCACTCTGGTTAAAAATCCAGGTTTTGGATGTTTCATGAGCTGACTGGTGTATTTTTACCTGCAGGCTTCATACAGCGTGAGCACTCAATGCTCAGACGGCCTCAATGTTTATAATGTGGAAGAAAAACATACATCATAGTGCAGAGACTAATAATTACTAGAGATGGCACGATACCACTTTTTATGTCCGATACCGATATCATAATTTGGATATCTGCCGATACCGATATGAATCCGATATAGTGTTTTTTAATCAACAAAACTGTTTTTTAAATATCTTGCTGCATTTTGTATAGTTCATACTCAAGTTTAAAACAACAACTACACTAAAGCTATTCTGTTATACCTGTATGCAAAAAAAAATATTTCATAGTTCAGCAATACTGATCAATCTAATAAACTTAAACCTACACCATCCTCCCTATTCTGGTATTTTAAAGAGTACTTAGCATAAATATTAAGCAACCTAACTAATAGGGTTCCAACTCCCAGCAACAACAAAAATAAATAAATAAAAAATGGGAACCACCCCTCACGCTCCACCTCATGATGCTTAATCGACGTAATCAACCTTAATTTGATGCAGTGTGAAAAAAATGCACAGAAATCAATTATTTTTCAAGAAATATTAAATAGATTCAACATCTTTCTTCAACAAAATTGCAGACTGCACAGATGGTACCTTCCCAAAGGAAAAAGTACTATAGCTTACTAGGGTATATTAGACTTAATAGTCACTATATACAGTAATGGACTTCTATTCATTTTACATCAAATTAAAACTTTGGGTGTCAGATAATTATTTATTAAAAGCTAGACATTTTAAATGAGAATAAGAAAGAAAAGTATGTCTTTGTGCCCCTTTTCCCTGTTAATGCCTATCGGCCCCCCTGGCTAAACTTTGCTAGATCCGCCCCTGCACAGTTACAGCCGTCAGCTGTAGAAAAGATCCTGGAGTAGAAAGTAATATTAAATAAATTCTAACAACAGCTTATCAAGCTTAAACGTGCTGCTGTTGTTCAGCCGCTGGTTTCCTCTGTCTGGTGCAAAGTGGGCCAAAAACAAACTAGAGACACGGACTCGCGACAGAAAAGCCGATCAGTGATCATTGATCAGTTTCATGATTGAAGCAGGAGAGAGAGGGAGAGAGGCAGTCGCTCCATATATCGCTTGTTAAGCTTAACGCAGGAATGCTTTACAAACATTCAGAGATGGACTTACACACTTGCTTTACTTCTCTCGGGGATAACTTTGTCGGAGATGAAATGCCGGGTTGCTAGCGAAGCTCCAAATGCTATCCAGACCACCGACAGGTCCCGCATGCCACAGCCGCTCTATCACGTGATGCATACTGCTCCGACGTGCTAACGTTCTGAGGTGAGTTACGGCGTGTTGCAAGTTTTGTGAGGTGCTTTCGTGATATTTAATGGATCGGATTACATTTTTTATTTTTCTCCGATATCCGATCCAGTAATTTAGGTCAGTATCGGACCGATACCGATACGTAATATCGGATCGGTCCATCTCTAATAATTACATGTGAGGATATGCTGCTGTTGTCATGATGAGTGTTACTGTATTATAATGTATAATGTATTATAATACTAATGTTTTAATGATGAATAAATAAATATAAATAGATGATTATACTGTTGTTACAGTGGAACTGTATCACTAATTACAGGAATGTAAAGAGCATTTTAGGGGCTTGCTTCCTCCAGAAGACACAGGTTCTTCCTGACAACTGAATGAAATCTCAGCTGTGATGGAGCTTTGTGTGTGTTTGCTGAGTGTGTGTGAGAGCTGCTGCTTGCAATAAACTGAAAGTGTTTGAGGAACAAAGAGAAACAAGAAAATCAGCTGATGATCCAGTAAAGACTCTCTGAGCAAAGTGACTGAATGAAGCAGATTTTATTGAGGATTGACAGAAAAGTGCATCGAGCAGGAGACGATTCATGTGGACGACCCGAATACAGAGAATCTGAACAGATCAAGTCCAACATGAAAGGATCCAAATGTTTCCACTCGGCCTGAGCCATCACAAATATCCAGCATGAACACATGAAGAATCCGAGGCATCGTGTCAATGACATCCTCTGCACTCACTGAAAGACAACAACATGTTGGACTGTCTCTGGATCGTGTCAGTGACACGTTACTGTCCCACAACCAGTTTACTGAGTCAGCATGAGAGGAGCAGCAGGATAAAGCTCACACTGACAACCTTAGAACAACATTAGAACAACATTAGAACAACGTGACAGAAACACATGTATTTGTGGAGAACACAGAGTTTAGTTTGTGACGTCAGAGGAGCAGGGAGCTGTTCTCACACACTGTTGTACTGATCGTTAAACAGCAGGGGGCGCCCTCACTGCATTTACAGCACAGCTGGCAGCTCTGCTCTGCATAATAACTGACTGTGGAGTTTATGTAGTAATATTTGTCATGTGCATAAGTACAAATATCTGTGTGAAATACATGTATATTAATAATAAGTATTTTTTAACATGAGAATTGATATTTTTAACTGGATAAAATATGAAAGCATACATGATGTTCCCGTCTTAGAAGGAGGCCCTCATGTCCACATCAACAATCAGCATCTGTGTACATCTGAACATGTAGCAGCATCAGTACCATCTGCCTGATGCTTCTTTACATGTTTCACGTATGCCAGAGGAAGAGTCTCCCAATGTTGGTGATGGTGTTCGTTTAAGCTTGCACTGCTTCTTCGGTTCCTCCATCCTCTCTCCTCATCTCCTCCAGTTTCTGGACCTTCTCCGTGTCTCCTTCCTCCTTCATCTTCTCAATCAGGAAGTCCAAGTGGGCAACAGTGGATGCTGAATCAGCTTTCAGAGCGATTTCCTCCAGTCTGACAGCATGCTGGTAGGAGTCACTTAGCCACTTTTCCTTTTCTGCTGTCAGCACTTTCATTTCCTTTTCAAGATTTTCCAAAAGACTCAATATTTTCTCAATTTCTATTTTATTTCTGTGATTCGTCTGCTTCAGAGCTTCTCGGATCTCTCTGATTTCTGTCTGTTTCAGTTCAGCCAGCTCGAATCTGTCTTCCAGGTTTTGGATGCAGGCTTTCAGTCTGATTCGTTCATTTAACACTTCGGCTGTTTTCACCAGTTTTTGAGGATTAGATTTTCCCAACAAGTTTGTCAAATGATCCATGTTTGTCTGTGTAAGTTCCCATGAATTTCTAAAAATTGTGTTTTCCTCCATTTGCTCTTCAAGCTGGCAGTTATTAAACAGGAAGTGAGCAGGCTGACTGTCCTCATTTTTGGCACATTTAATGTTTGCAGCTTCAAGAGCTTGAAGAGGGTTTTCAGGCCTGCTTCCATCTGAGTGTGTGATCAGAGCTATGATGTTTTTCTCCAAGTTCTTTCCAAACAGAGACATCACTGAATCAAAGACGTACCTCAATGGCTCACTCAGTCGATTCACACTCGCCTTCATCACCAGACCCACTGCATGAACTTCATGGACCCCATCCTCTGATTGAAACAGGTCCAATAATCTGTGACTGATGATGTCATCATGTTCGATCCCTCTGGTGTCTCCATATCCAGGAGTATTGATGATGGTCAGAGAGTAGGGCAGAGTTTCATCTTCAAAACCAAAGATCTCGTACACCATCACATCTGATGTCTGACTTCTTCTCTCCTCCTCTGCGATCATAAACCAGACTTCATCCTCCCACTTCACTCCCATGGTGTAGTTGAGCAGAGCGTTGATCAGAGTAGATTTTCCTGCTCCTGTTTCTCCCACCAGTAAGATGGTTCTGTTCGGCTTGTTTGGACGTTTTTCTCCAACAGTCATTCTTGTCAGAGTTCCAGTCTTCTGTTTCTTCGGTCTCAGCTGGTAGACAGCAGGAGGTCCTGACCTGATGAGAAAACTGTCTGAGACGATGTCTTCATGTGGTGATGAGATCAAACTGATCCTGCACAGAAAAGCATAGAAAGTCTTCAGCAAACATGTAAACATTATGAACAGGTTCCTGTTTAACACTGAAACCTGAGCTGATCCTTTTCTGCTCAGGGTCAAAGGTCACATAAATTAAACCTTTTTGTTTTTTCTTTTTTCCAATTAGATTCTTATTTTTGTCTGTCTGCTCTCCCAAAGCATTAGTGGTCACTCTGATTCTTTTTATTAGACTTTTATTTTCCCTCAACCTTTGATTGGATTGGCATGACATCATCTGGGTGAGCCATAGCTGCTGCTACCCTTCTCCCTCCGGTCTGTCGCCTGCTGTGTCACCTATTGTGTCAGTGTCCGTCTCTCAACCCTTATATAGTCCCTGCGATGATGGGTTGGATGATAGGCACAGCTCTGTTTCCGGTGCACGTCTGGCTGACTTGGATGTCTATTTAGCACATCTGTCTGATCCTGCCAAATCTGATGTCCGAGAGCTCATTAACAACTACCCAACTCTTTTTGGTGATATCCCCACTCAAACGCACGTGCTAAGTCATGATATTGACGTGGGTGATCACAAGCCAATAAAGCAACATGCCTACAGAGTAAATCCCACTAAGCATGCCATAATGCAGCAAGAAGTCCAGTATCTTCTTGACCATGGTTTTACCCTTCCCAGTAATAGTTCTTGGAGCTCACCATCATTGCTCATTCCAAAACCCGATCAAACCTCCCGTTTCTGTAACGATTACCGAAAGGTAAACGCTGCTACAAAACCAGACTCTTTTCCACTCCCACGCATGAATGACCTGGTCGATCGTGTGGGCTCTGCAAACTTTGTGACCAAACTCAACCTCCTAAAAGGATACTGGCAAGTCCCATTAACCAAACGCGCATCAGAAATCAGTGCCTTTGTTACACCCAACCACTTTTTGCAATACACCGTCATGCCGTTCGGGTTAAGAAATGCTCCCGCCACATTCCAACGACTGATGAACACTGAGTTACATGGAGTCATAAACTGCGAAGTGTATCTGGATGATATAGTGGCCTATTCATACACCTGGACTGAACTCTCAGTGAAATATTTGACCGTTTGCGTGATGCCTCTCTGACAGTGAATGTGGCTAAGTGTGAGTTTGGAAAGGCTGTTGTAACCGACCTAGGGAAACAAGTAGGACAGGGTCAAGTCCTCCCTGTTGCTGTGAAAGTGCAGGCAATATTAAACTTCCCAGCTCCGCAGACGCTTCGGGAGCTGCGGCGTTTTCTAGGCATGGCGGGTTATTACCGTGGGTTCTGCAAAAACTTCTCCGAGGTAGTAGCCCCATTAACCAGTCTTGCCAGTCCAAAAATCACCATTTGTGTGGTCAGAGACATGTCAGTTTGCTTTCGAAGCTGCCAAAGCTCTCCTTTGCAGTGCTCCTGTGTTGGCCGCCCCTGATTTCGCACGTCCGTTCAAGCTTGAGGTGGACGCCAGTGCTTTCGGGGCTGGTGCAGGAGGATGGAAATGGCATTGACCATCCAGTCTGTTTCTTTTCCAAAAAATTCCTAAAACACCAATTGCATTAAAGCACGATTGAAAAGGAAGCCTTAGCCTTATTGCTAGCCTTGCAGCACTTTGAAGTGTACCTTGGGTCCAGTCCTGTTCCAACTGTCGGGTTCTCTGACCACAACCCTCTCCAGTTCCTAACTCGGATGCAGAACAGCAACCAGCGCCTTATGCGCTGGTCCCTACTCCTCCAGGACTTCAACATTGAAATCCGGTACAAAAAGGGCTTAGAGAACGTCATGGCTGATGCCCTCTCTAGGTCTTGAATCAAACATTTCATTTGGGGTTAGATATTTGATTTTTGGGTGGGGGGAAGTGTTATGATCTAATGTTTTCAGTGTTTGCTTTATGTGTGAGTCCTCCCACCAGAGGATGGCTGTGGGTCTTTTCCCTTTCTCTCTTAGGAGGTGGACACCTTGGCGTGCCTGCTGAGTAGCTGGGTGGAGTCTCTTCCTGTCCTGGGATTGGATAATTGGCTAATCACCTCCAGTACTTAACTACCGGATGACAGCCACCTGGCCCCCTCTCTCCTAACCTCCACCATCCAACAAAGAACCTGTGTTTTGATTCGTTGCTGTGTAGAGTGTCTTTGCCAAACTGATCTGCAGGTATAACCTCATGTGTGTGTGGCATTAGTACCTCAATTTTGTAAATAGCTGTAAATAGTTTTGTCAAGTAGCAATCGTGTATTTTGGTCACCTTGTATATATCCTTCACTGCAGCAGCCTAGTAGGCGTGAGAAGCCATTTTTGTTGATTAAGTTTTCTCCTGTTTTTCATGTAAAAAGTTAGGTAAGAGAATTGTCTTTTGTTTGGTTTTCATTTGTGTAGGAAAGCATAGGGACCATTATGGAGTTTTGTTTGTTATTTTTGGCACTGCTCACTGCTGAAGCAAATAAATGGCTGCTTAGCACTTTAAAAGATACGACTGTTTGTGTTCTTGCTTGGGTGGAGCGGGAGTGGGGCCAACTTCTTGTTGCGTTCAATACACGCCTAGACTAAGAACGTAACAATACAGTTTTAATTTCATTTTTATTGTCAGTATTAGAATATTGGGATGATTTAAAAATTTGATGTTAAAGTTAGAAAAAAGTGACACTTCATATCTATACTTATTTATTTTGTTTTTATTTATTTATATTTTACATTTGTTTTATTTTTATAGTTGGACTCTATATAAAATGATTTTAAATTTCTTTTCATTAACTAAAATAGTTAACAATAACCTCCAGCTGTAACCCTCTGTCTGTAGTGAAGGGGCTGGCCTCAGACTCAGCACTGCTCAGTCTGAGGCCATGATTTCCAGCTGGAAATGGTTGAAGTGCCCATCACAGTTTGGGGATGAGATGCTGGACTAAATAACTTTGCAGTTATTTATGTGTAAGAAATGTTTGGAATCATGTATGACTTTCGTTCCACTTCTCACGTGTGCACCACTTTGTGTTGGTCTCTCACGTGGAATTCCAATAAAATTGATTCATGTTTGTGGCTGTAATGTGACAAAATGTGGAAAAGTTCAATACTTTTGCAAGCCGCTGTATATCTCGTCAACCAATCAGGCCATTGATCAATGGCCTTTGATCAGTGGTCATGAGAAATGCATATTAATGATCATAAGCTGACCTCCCAGCCCACTATTCCTCCAGTGGGCTGGTTTCAGTCATTATGCAAATGTACTGTTTATAAGATTGAAGCCTGCAGTCAGCTGAGACTGAAGAAACCTGGATGAATGAAGAAACGTTTCTCCCACTGAAAACACTACGTCCAGATGAACAGAATCAAACTTTGGGTAATAAATCCATGTTTGAATATCACTTTATCTTTGAATGTGGAGAAAAACTTTGTAGCTCTCATCACACACTCAGATGTAAGAAACCCTAAATATGCCCTTCAAGATCTTGAAGATTCAAAAATTAAATGTGTCAAAAATGAGAAGAATCAGTCTGTTCACTTCCTGTTCAATAACTCTCCAGCTTGAAGACGAGAAAGAAAAATACCTGAAACTAAATTTTGGAAGCTCAGAGAGTTCACAGCCTTCCTGAAGGAAACTACACCTCTAAAGCCAGAGGCAGCATTTAAAGTGTTAAAGGAAAGAATCAGACTGACAGCCTGCATCCAAAACCTGCAAGAAAGAATCAAATTCACTGAAGTGAAACAGAGAGAGATGAAACAGAGTCAGGAAGCTCTGGAGAAACATGACAACATGAAGAATGAAGAGGTCACTCCATTTGTTGCTGAAGTTTTTAAACATAAAGAACCTATCAGAGACATGTGGGGCGGGTTTGAAAGCAGCTGTCAGCTGTACAGTCTGTGAGGAGAACTGTCACTATCCTGGATGCACGGTGCCCTTAAATCACTGTAAGGTCTTTAGAGATGGTCTCTGCACGTCATGCACCAACAAGTGTCCTGCATCAGTGCATGTAAAAGGAAAGTGGAGATATGTGACCAGGATAAGGAGCGGTCAGGAGAACGAACCACCAACAAAAGAGAAGGATGTTCATTTACTTGGAAAGGAAATGAAACTGCTGACAGCAGAGAAGTCCCAGTTTCTGGATGAGTCCTACCACCATGTTGTCAGACTGGAGCAGATCGCTCTGAAAGCTGATTCAGCATCCACTACTGTCCACTTGGACTTCCTGATTGGGAAGATGGAGGAGAAAGGAAACACAGAGAAGGTCCAGAAACTGGAGGAGATGAGATGGAGAGAGGATGGAGGAATCAGAGCACCTCTGAGGTATGTCAAACTGACACTCACAGAACAGTGACTGTAAGAGAGAGAGGTTCAAAGGATTGCAGAAGTTCACCCTTGGAAATTTCAGCAGCAGCACCAAGGGCAAACTGTCCTTGTTGCACTTGGATTTGACTCTATTCCTCCTCCTCACCATGATGATTATCATCATTATTATCATCATCATCGTAATTGATGTGTTGGATTATAATTCTGAGAAGTATTTGGACGTCCAAAAGTATCCTCGGGCAAGATGCTGAACCCCAGGTTGCTCTCCGATGTTACAATCAGAGTGAGCACTTAGGTAACAAAAACAACAAAGTGCTTGTATAAATGGGTGAAAGAGGAAAGTTGTATGAAGCAGCCTAAGCAGAGAAGTCCAGACCTCCCTCTCCCCAGCCACCTCCTCTAGCTTGTCCGGAGGAACACCAAGGTGTTCCCAGGCCAGCCGAGAGATATAATCTCTCCAGCGTGTCCTGGGTCTGCCCGGGGCCTCCTCCCGGTGGGACACCTCACCCAGGAGGCCTCCAGGAGGCATCCTTATCAGATGCCCGAAAAACACAAAAAAAGGCTCCTTTCAATGTGGAGCAGCAGCGGCTCTACTCTGAGCCCCTCCCGGATGGCTGAACTTCTCACCCTATCTCTAAGGGAGAGGCCAGCCACCCTTCGGAGGAAGCTCATTTCCGCCGCTTGTATCCTTGATCTCGTTCTTTCAGTCACTACCCACAGCTCGTGACCATAGGTGAGGGTAGGGACTTAGATCGAACAGTAAATTGAGAGCTTCGCTTTTACGCTCAGCTCTTCACCACGACGGACCGAAAGCCCTCTGCCACTTGGCTGCACCTAGAAATCCGCCCAGACTAAACTATTCTTGATTTTTACTGAACAAACAAAAGTTCATGTACAAAAAGGGGTGTCGAGATGGAGACACTGACTGATTTTGATTGAGTGACCTCACCGTGTTTCAAGGAGAACCCAAATCTGGACCAAGCCATGAAAACATTCAGATCATACCTTTGTTCTTTCCCATCTCTGAAGTTTATATCATAGAGCGTGCTGACTTCTTCTCTGACTGCTGTCTCCAGCTCGGCCAGGGTCTCCTGAATCATAAACTGGTCACTGGTTACAGTCACAGCAGACCAGTCCTGCAGCTGGGGCTTATTGTAGGTAAGAGGGAGGACGTTCTCCAGGAAGCTGAAGGGGTCTCTGATGAGCGAAGCTTCATGAAACTGCAGCTTCTTCTTCTTCATGTGTGTAATCTCTGCCTGCAGCTCATCAATAAAGCTTTCTGCCTCTGTCTCATTTATTTCCTGCTTCGTCTCGATCGCCTCAGACAGTCTGGTGAACTCTGTCTTTATGTGCTGCACCAAAGCGGTCATCACCTTCCTGCTGTACGATAACGCCTCCTCAGCTTTACTTCTGCTGGTCTTCACTGACTGTTGAAGCTCCTGGATTTTCTGCTCACGCTCCTGGATCATCTGATCCATGCTGTTATTTTCTAATCTCAGCTGGGATTTCCTCATTTCAGCCTCGTCCTCCAGACTCACTGTTTCATGTGTTTTATGGTCACTGCATTTACAGGACCGACACAGAAACCTTTGATCCAGTCTGCAGATCAGCTCCAAAGGCTCACCGTGATCCCGACATATTCTGCTCTCCAGGTCCTGAACTGGATCGATCAGCTTGTGCTTCTTCAAAGCTGAAATCCTCTGATGAGGCTCCAGATGTGTTTGACAGTAGGACACTAAACACATTAAACAGGACTTCTGGGCACTGACCTTGGACCCTGCACAGATGCTGCAGAGCACGTCTTCATGTCCTGCTCGTTCAGCTGAACTCAACAACATTTCTTGAGCAGATTTTTTAACCTTTTCTGCCATTTCATCAATGACAGGGTTAACCCGAAGCAACGGCCTGGTGTAAAACATCTCTTTGCACAGTGGACATTGGAGTACAGACAGGGTGCTCCAGTAGTCTGTGATACAGTTCATACAGAAGTTGTGTCCACAGGGAATCGACACAGGTTTAGTGAACACACTCAGACAGACGGGACAAAGAAGACTGTCCTCAGACACCAGAGCCGACGCCATGACTGCAACATACAAGCAGAGCTAATATTAGCACAGTGTAAAGTCAATGTAATCCTCATTTATCATTCAATATACAAAAAAGCAACAGTGATACTGAAAAAATGCAACTGTACCTTCTGTATGAAGACTTCACCAAGACTGAGCGGTCAGAAACAGGCTCTTCTTCTTTTTAGTTTCTACTGACACACTGACCACATCGTCGCCAAGCACTTCCTCGTTTGAGTAGAACGAATGAACTCTTTAGAAAACAGACCATGAAACCCTCACAGGTTAAAAAGGTTCACTGGGAAGCTGATCAGCATGACAACTACAGCTTGAATATTCATGAACATTTAAGAACAAATGCTTAACACGAGCTTTTCTCACATGATGAAGAGGAAAGTAGAAACTGAAAGCCACAAAATGAAACTACACTGGCAACTCCTGCGTTAGCCTTTAGAGCTGTGTCTGCATTAATTAGTCATATGAAAAATAATTAAGAGAAAGATTAAGACGTCAGACTGATGGAAAATCTGAGCAAATAAAAGCATCTGCATCAGAAATCAGAGTCGTGGTGATATTCTAACATGAATCCACACACAGCAGCGATCCACACCGTCCAGGGGCTGTCAGTGAAAATGAACGTCCCTCAGAGTGAAGGACAGTGTCCATGAAATAAAAACCTTGTTTGCTCTTTAGGACAAAAATGCAGACTGAAACGTTCCTAAAGAAGTCTGATGAATAACTGGAGCAAACTGGAGTCCAAATTTGTTTGTCTTAGAAAAGTTCCAGTATATTTGAGTTGAACCTGTCCGAGAGTGTCACATGCAGAGTCCTGACAGAGAAGCAGGGTGTGATGATTTAGGACTGCAGGAGTCTGGGAGATGGAACCATGCATCCCTGCAGAGAACCCAAAAACATGAGACAGGATGAATCTCAGTCTGCAGAGGACTAAGGCTAACTAGACTCTAAATGAGGAACACTGTAACTGTTCAGTTATATGACATGTGATTAAGAAGCCCCTTTTGAACGTGGTCGGGTTGCTGAACTGTCAGCGATGGCTGACAGGAGACTTTACTGAACGCAGTGATCACAGGACAAAACAACTTAAAGCTTTTACACAGATCACATCTGACACAAAGTGAGCTGCTACACAAACATGCTAGGTTGGCTACAGGGACAGTTTCTCCTGCAGGCTGGACTCATGTGGACCACACATACCTGGACTTTGGTTCTGTGTGTCTGTAACGTTTGTAAAGACTAATGATGGAGCTGAACTGATAGAAACAGAAAGCCCTGCATTAGTGCGTCTGTGTAAATGCCATTCTCTATATGAAGCTATGAATGAAAATGAAATGGATTCAAGTATAGTGATACATTACACAGAACACTGACATACTGTCACTGACTGCAGGGCCTTAATGTACAGGTTTATTTCCAACGATAAGGACAACAAGTGCAGATATCCAAACAGCATATGTCATTATAAACAAGCTTCAGCACACTACAGGGACAACATCTTCACACTCAGGTGTTTTCAGTCCCACTGCAACACTGCAGCCATGCAGTCTACCTGTAGAAACATAGCAGAGAGAATGGTCACAAGTCAGGACTGCAACATTTCATTATTCTACCATCCACTGTAAGTGCTGTTATTATTGCCATTTAAGTGGTAGAGCTTAGTAACCACACAAAGTGGCAGAGCACATATATTACCGCGCATAACAGCTGCCAACACTCTGCTGACTCAGTGACTTCAGAGTTTCAAACCTCCTTTGGCATCAACAGATCATTATGCCAGCAGGAGCTTCATGGTTCCATGGATGAGCAGGTGCACTGATCGCTGGCCCAGCACGCTCGTCTACTCAGCCTGAAAGGTTCCAGAGCAGATTACCACATCAGTAACAACACCAGATATGATCATCAAGAAGCTTTACTGATGCAATGCTGACTAAACATGAAAAAGCACAAACAAAGCGACTACAGTGAAGTCAGTGAACACAAGTATAGTGTAATATCTATACTGTCCACTTAACCAAGAGGCAGACTCAGGATTTCCACCTTAAAGCCCAGGCCTGCACTTTGAACTGCTGGCACACTGAGTCCCACGAACCTGAAGTTCATTACTGGTTTCTATGCAGGTAGATCCCAGAGCCATTATATGCTTCATAAAAGCCTTTTAAAAGTCTGTATATGAGCTGACAGAGAGCCGGCGTATGCACTCAGACTGCACTCAGACTGCACAGCTGGTTCATAACACTGTCGGGTAAGCACACGCTGAACATCACAGTGATAAGTGAACGTTATCCCAGTGCGTCTGTGTGTTTGTGGGTGTGCTGAGCACCAGCTTACAGCCATCTTCAGGCCTGGTGGGTGTGTCACACCTGCCAAGGAGATCCACTTCCACCTGGAGCTGATCAGCCTCGTCGGGGAGCTACTTAACAGTGTGGCTGAGCGCTCCTCGACGCTGGACCGTTCCCATCAGTTTCTCAGCATCTGTTTGAAGTTGGAGGTGCTCACGGCTGCCTTCGTGTGTTTCTGAGGAGGATCTGCAGAAACGAGGTTGTACACAGGGAACAGAGACACGGAGCACGGGCGCGAGGACATGAAACAGGAGATGGGAGCGCGCAGGGATTTATTGTTTACCTTTTATTTTACTTTGCTGTAAATAAAGACACCTTTTCATCGTAACGGTCCTGCATTGTGGGTCCTGCTTCCCCACATCCCCAGACTGTGACAGTTTGGGATTATTGTCCTACTGAAAAACAAAGCCAGACTCTTTCCACGTGATCTTACTCAGTGGATCAAACTTCTCTACCTTCATAATTCCATCACATTTGGACAAGAGTCCCAGCACAGACTGGTTTGACAGATGGCTGCAGACTCCTCCTCTGCTGTGCTGAACACATCTATGCACACTGAAGACGAGCTGAAGCAGAGATGGATCATATTTGCATTCAAGTATAAAGACATGTTTTTTTAAATATGTGTGTGAGCTCCAAACCTCTGAGACAACAACTCTGCACTGAGACAGCTGGACTTAAGGGCCGGGGACGCTTCAGCAGCGACTCTATGTCTTTAATAGCTTTCACAGTATTTTTCATGTGCATTTCTTCATCATGCACTGAAAGTATGACGCTTTTCTTCTGCCTGACAGTTTCATGTAGAGTCAGAGATTTAAAAGCAGGACTAAGACCCACTGAACAACAAACACACACTATACTGACTGACACATTCAGCAGCCAACACAAGTAGTCTGAAAGCATTTTATTCGTTCCAACTACAGCCGCCAACCAGATATATGATGCTTGGCCCTGGTGAACAAGCCCAGCAGCGCCTGCACCAGGACCAGGAGCTGCTGCTGGCCTTCCCACTGCCTGGGTGTTTGGTCCACAGCTGAGAACAGGAGAGCTCCACACACCACCAACCTCAGCAGTCTGAGCCATGGTGACCCTCATCACTCAGCCCGCTCACACACAGACTATTCAGGCTTTTCCTTGGAGCACGTCCAAGCACCATCTAATATGTGCCTGTGTCTTTATTTTGTGTACATTTGTCTTGTTTTGTATAAAACTTTATTGCACACATTTCTCCTGTTTGCTATTTATTCCTGCTGTGTCCTATTTATGTTTGATCTCAGCATTGTTGGTGTGGAGCACACAGAATGACACAGTTACACAGTTACACAGTGAATTTACGTTTTTTGTTATATTTACAAAACATCACAGTTGTTGTCTTGGTCGTATCATTTTATTTTGTTGTATTTATCTGCCTTAAAGGCCGGTCTGTCTGACATTAAACCGTCCGTGGAGCAACAAAGGTTGGGGAGCGCTGCTCTAGAGATCTTTCTCTATCCATCTATAGATCTATATACATACAGGGAGTGCAGAATTATTAGGCGAGATGTATTTTTGAGGAATAATTTTATTATTGAACAACAACCATGTTGTCAATGAACCCAAAAAACTCATTAATATCAAAGCTGAATGTTCTGACATTCAAAAACAAAAGAAAAACAAATCAGCGACCAATATAGCCACCTTTCTTTGCAAGGACACTCAAAAGCCTGCCATCCATGGATTCTGTCAGTGTTTTGATCTGTTCACCATCAACATTGCGTGCAGCAGCAACCACAGCCTCCCAGACACTGTTCAGAGAGGTGTACTGTTTTCCCTCCTTGTAAATCTCACATTTGATGATGGACCACAGGTTCTCAATGGGGTTCAGATCAGGTGAACAAGGAGGCCATGTCATTAGTTTTTCTTCGTTTATACCCTTTCTTGCCAGCCACGCTGTGGAGTACTTGGACGCGTGTGATGGAGCATTGTCCTGCATGAAAATCATGTTTTTCTTGAAGGATGCAGACTTCTTCCTGTACCACTGCTTGAAGAAGGTGTCTTCCAGAAACTGGCAGTAGGACTGGGAGTTGAGCTTGACTCCATCCTCAACCCGAAAAGGCCCCACAAGCTCATCTTTGATGATACCAGCCCAAACCAGTACTCCACCTCCACCTTGCTGGCGTCTGAGTGGGACTGGAGCTCTCTGCCCTTTACCAATCCAGCCACGGGCCCATCCATCTGGCCCATCAAGACTCACTCTCATTTCATCAGTCCATAAAACCTTAGAAAAACCAGTCTTGAGATATTTCTTGGCCCAGTCTTGACGTTTCAGCTTGTGTGTCTTGTTCAGTGGTGGTCGTCTTTCAGCCTTTCTTACCTTGGCCATGTCTCTGAGTATTGCACACCTTGTGCTTTTGGGCACTCCAGTGATGTTGCAGCTCTGAAATATGGCCAAACTGGTGGCAAGTGGCATCTTGGCAGCTGCACGCTTGACTTTTCTCAGTTCATGGGCAGTTATTTTGCGCCTTGGTTTTTCCACACGCTTCTTGCGACCCTGTTGGCTATTTTGAATGAAACGCTTGATTGTTCGATGATCACGCTTCAGAAGCTTTGCAATTTTGAGACTGCTGCATCCCTCTGCAAGATATCTCACTATTTTTGACTTTTCTGAGCCTGTCAAGTCCTTCTTTTGACCCATTTTGCCAAAGGAAAGGACGTTGCCTAATAATTATGCACACCTGATATAGGGTGTTGATGTCATTAGACCACACCCCTTCTCATTACAGAGACGCACATCACCTAATATGCTTAATTGGTAGTAGGCTTTCAAGCCTATACAGCTTGGAGTAAGACAACATGCATGAAGAGGATGATGTGGACAAAATACTCATTTGCCTAATAATTCTGCACTCCCTGTATAGAAGAGCGTGTGTGTGTGACGACACAACATTACAGCAGCATCTTTTTCTTCACTATGTTCTGCAAAAAGAAGCATTTCCGTGTATACTGGACCAAAGTCAGGTGATATTATCTGGGCTCTTCCCTGACTTCACTTCTTGATCCTGATGGTCAGCTCCGTGGACATATTGGTAAATGATATGAAATCACTGCGAGCAGGCTTTCTGTGACTGTCCCACAGCCTGAGCATGGCTTTAAGCAGCACTTATGAGTGAAGCTGGAGAGCTGGTGACACAGTGTGAGTCACTCTGAGGCAGCGTTTCAGTGTCACCTTCTCTGTTCAAACGTGCAGTGAAATCACAGCCTGAATGGCTGCGTGTAAAAACAAAGAGCTGCCCTCTGCTTCTTCCTCAGCTACAAACACAGAGACAGGAAACGTCCCTCTGCTGAGCTCCTGCTGATCAAACTCCACATGTGTGAGAGTTTTCCAACATTTCCATCAGCATCACAACTTTACACCATAAAACGCAACAGCAGCTTGTTTGTTGCTCTGAAAATGAAAGCTGTGAATGTGAGCCCACATCCACCCTGAGCATCCACGTTCTCATTTCTGTTAGCTGCCTCAGAACTGGAGCCACTCTGACTCACCGTGTCCTCAGCTGAATACAAGCGCGCTGATCCACACAGGTATGCACACAGGTGTTCACTGTTCGTAGACTTAAACTACACCTTTCTTGGCTACTACTTCGAAGCACATCTGTCCTGCGTACTGCACAACAACATTGAATATTTAGTATTTACTGCTGTTTACACTTAGCTAGATTAATGCGATGGTGTTGTGTTTAGTATGTTGCTTTGTTTTTTTTTCTGCTTGTTTTCTATTCTTCTCTCAACAGGTGATCCAGGAGATTCTTATTTTTTTTCTCCCCCCCTTTCTCACTGTCCCTCTCCCCTTCTGTTTTTCCTTTCCTTCCTCTTCCTTTCTCCCTTTCCTATCCCTCACTCATGTCTGTCCCGTCTGTAACATCTGAAAATAAAATATAATAAATAATAAAAACAAAGGTCGACCAAATGGACCAATACGGCAATGCCACGAAGATCCATTTGGCAAAGTAAATCCATTGGGTATCCTTGTTGGTCTTCAGACAACAATTCTGACGACTAAAGAACCAAATGGGAGGCAAAAAAAAACATGTCCTCAGCCACAAACACCAATCCTGTGGTGTTTCATGCCTACTGCAGCTCTCACCCTTCACATGAAGACTTTGGAGATAAAGGGGACGTTCCACTGGAGACTATTATCCTGTTATTGGACAAATGCAAACATGCATGCAAACTGCACAGAGACCAGGTGGTGGATCCAGACTCAGACCTTCTAGTTGTCAACAACTGCAACACTGTGCTGCCCTGTTAACCAGGTCCTGTGGACAAATACCATAAAGTGTATTTGTTAAAAGATGGATGTGGTCGAAAAATGGAAGCCAATGTGGAAGTGCCTTTAACCTGCAATCTTTCTACCGGCCAGCAGGGGGCAGCTCTGAGAGCTGCAATGAGCCTTTCCCGATGAGTCTCACAAAGCCGTACAGCCTCGTCTTACTTTGCTCCTCAGTCACTGAATAACACAGCTCACACAAACACTTCTGTAACTGCTCCTCAGAAACTTTTGTTGTTTCCATGTTATGTTTGATTTCGGGTTCACTTTGGATTCCTTTGTTTTTAAAACCACCACAGCCTGTCTGAGTGTCAGTGCTGACCACGTCAGCCTGGGGTCACTTATGAAGGCAGTGTTGACCTGACTCACATCTTCTCTGTCACAGGAATTATCAGCTGCTCTTTCACTCGTTGCGGTCTTTAAATGAGACTCCTGTCAAAGAGCAGCATAAACACAGGGATAAATCCTGAGCGTGTGATGAGCTGCTGTATGGACTGTACTCACAGTGAGGCTGGAGCCCTGTGAGGTCACTGTGAATGACCGCCCAGAAGCCCAAAGCACTGGGATAATGGGCAAACACAGTGTGACAGTAGCAGCTAAGCTAGGTTGAATAAAAAGAGTCACATGTTGCTTAAATTAAAGCATCAGTTTTTTCTTCCTTCAGCAGCGATGTCCAACTCTTTCAATCTTGGCTCATGTCTCCATGGTTACCATTACAAAACTAACCCAACGGCCAATCAAAACTGATGCCGACTGATGACATCATCTAGTCAGAATAAACAAAGCTCAGTCATCAGCATGTCTCTGCAGTGGTTCCAGTGTCTCCTGTGTGTCTTTGCTTCATGCTTCAGTTCTTCACATTCAGTCAGTTCAAAGTGGTGCAAACGGCAGTAGAGACATGAGAGATGTTGTTGGCAAGAGAAAATCTCCTTCACATCCCAACACGTCCTAAGTGTAACCGAGGCCTGACGATCCACAAAGACAGCAAACCAAGGTCAGAGCTTACGTCCACCTACCAGCCAGCTTCAGCCTTACTGGACGAGGCAGACCAGTCGATATTAGCGTTCCCCAGTGTGCATGCATCACATTTATAAAGGCCAATAAATGAAGATTTAAAGTAAAGTGGAGACAGCAGAAAGTCTCAACCATCACATGGGTTTGACACCATGTTTATTCACCAGTGGGCACTTTGCAACTTCCTGTTATCAGCAAGTGTTTGTCACGAAGCCAATGACTCGTGCAGAAATCCACGATTTGTTGGGACGATCAAACAAGTATCAGCAGGGCTCCATCAATCTATCAAATCACTACAGTAACCTGTCAGTTATTTCTGACGGCAGCAGCAAAGCATGCCTGCATGTCTCGCTGCTGCACTGATTAATGGACAGTTCGCCGCTGCTGTCAGCAAGAATATACACAGAGCTCCATCGAGCTGTGGCTCCAGGCCGTCCCCACCACAGGAAGACTGTTTCCAATAAACTGGAGGCATTTAGGTGGAGCATCAGAATCCCGTCAAATCAAAGAGGTGGGACTTGCTCCCAGAGCTGGATGCTGTGTAACCTCCTCACAACACAAGCTGCACAGCAAAGGACACAAAAACCTCCTGTTGACTAAACTAAACCCTCCCAACAGCAAAGACAGCTGCTGTGCATGAACGTGTGCACATTGGTGAAAGCTGCTACAGCGCAGCACTGTCAGCACTGCAGGAAAGGTCCTCTCTATTTTCAACAGAACTGCACATCACAGGTAAAGTAATGTGTTCATGGAGACGCCATGTTGGATAGCTCATCTCCAGCCTGTCGAACCATTACTTGAAAACACGGAAAGCCAAATATTCCTGGACATGTTTTTGGAACATGTTACAAGGTGCTGCAGCCGAGTAAATGCAACAAAGACATCTTCAACCTCGGACTGAGAGCAGAAATGTGACAGTTTCCAGAAACATCTTCAAACTGGCGTCACAAAGACACGAGTGCACACAGACTGGGATCATCTCCGTGTTCGACTCCATGTTAAACCAGCTTCATTGATCCAGACACCACAGCGGCCGTCACGTCCTCCCTGGTCCCACAGGCTGCACACAAGAGGCTCACCTCTGCTACCTGCTGCTCCACTCCCCTCAGGGTTTTGGCCACGCCTCCCATTGGTCAGCAGGTAAAGGTGAAGCCTGGGACATGGAAGCGTTTAGAGCAGAGCTTCATGGGCCTGACAGCGTCCAACAGCAGACTGAGGAGAGAAAGGAGACAGAGTTCAAACATGCTAAAGTTTCTCAGCTCATCTAAACAGGTTCTTTTGTGTTAAACTCAAAATGAAAGGAGTGAGAGTGAGCACATGTTCTCCCTGAGGAAGAACTCAAAGCTGAGGAAGATGAGGATCTCCACCCACTCACAGCCCCTCTCCTGACCTCCTCCCAACAAACTGACCATTTGAACTGAACCTTTAACACTTGTTGTCAGTCTTGTGTCAGTCAGCACATCTCAGCTGTTTCTCCTGTGGTTCTGAATGTCTCCCTGTGATTGGCCGTTCACAGAGACATGTCTGACTACATGAATCAGCTCCACGTGTACGTCTCAGGTCTTTGCTGGATTCGTCTTCCCCTTTCTTAAACTCGTGCCTTTCCCGTACTGGTCTGTACAGCAGTGATGAGCACAGTGTGGAGCTTAAAGTGATCGTGGGCAGCTCGAGTGTTGTTATAGAGGGGTCAAACCTGTGGTTGCTTCATCAGTGTGGACATTTAAAGATGGATGCAGACTGCATGGAAGTATGATGTTTGACTGCTTTTCTAAACATCATATGAAGTAAAACATTTACTCACACATGAAACATGAACACTGTGACATCAGCAGCTGCAGCAGTGCATGAATAAACAGACTGCACAACAACTCTCCTCATTCCCAGCTGTGCCTGCTCGAGCCAAATGTCCAGCTCCAAATTCTCCTGACCTCCTGTGGAGTTTGTGTGGATGACCTGGAGCAGGGTCCAGAGTCCAGGTGCAGGAGGCAGTGCTGGGTCAGCCACTGTGACAAAGGGCCCCTCCTCCACTGTGGGAGTCATCCAGGGGCTCCAGGACAGATCCACAGTGGGACCAGGGCTGATGCTGTAGTCACAGCAGGGACCTGCAATCAGCTTATTTCAGGACACGTCACTGCAAACATCTGCTCACCTCCACAGCTGTGTGTTGGGTTGAAATACAACACATGCAAACACATGTATGACTGTGTGACACAGACTGTGCAACAGTAGCAGGTAGTGCACTACATTTCCCTGCAGGCTTTGCATGCACAGAGCAGCAGTGTGTGTGCTGCTGTCCTCAGTGTGTCTAACACCAGCATTTAAATTACTACTAACATTTCTTATCACTTAGAACCAAAGACAGAGCAAGTTCCATCCAACTCTTCCCCTGCACCAACACGTTTCCTGCTGTTCATGTAACAGGAGGTGAACACGCTGGGATTAAAGGTTCATCTCATCAGTAACAAAGCAAACATGCCTCTGATGTGAGTTTCTGCTGTTTCCACAGTTACAGCTGGTACCTCAGTGCAGCCCTCACTGCTACAATACAACACCATCACATAGAGCAAGCCTATTCAAATGGCGGCCCGCGGGCCAAATGTGGCCCAGAAGCAACCTGCGAGTGGCCCTGCCTGTGGTCCTGGCAGAAACACAGAGAAAACGCAAAAAATTAGTTAATTTAAAAAAAAATGAAAAATTCCTACAGCGTAGTGTAGACTGTGAATGCAACACTCCTAGTAGCCTAGCAATATTTAACCCACAATGCACCGTGATGTAAACATATTAAACAATCATCGTAACATATGATGCGACAACAGCATGTCTTTCTCACTCCAAAAGCGCAAAATTGACAATGAAAACTGTCGGTTTAATCCGACTGACAAATACTTATTCATTTACCGAGTTTAATAATCTTACAACCGGAGTTGTACTACCATGGTGAGGGTCCTGTACAGCCCAAGAGAGAGCTGCAGCTTCCCTTCGTGTTTGCTTCTTGGCGAAGAAGAAAAGGCCTTTCACAGATTCTGAAACAGCGAAATACTGCATGCTGGCCGTGGTGGATGCGGTGAAAAGTGAGTGTGACATCTGCTGTTAAAAACGTACCCCTGTAGGACAGTTCAAATATTCGTAGAGTTGAAGTTCTGGCGTCAGACGAGTTTGAAATGCTGTTAGATGACCTGAAGAAAACTGATGTAATGTCTATAGCAGGAGATCACAGACAGAACTGATAATGACAGTTCTGTCATTATCAGAACTGATAATGACAGAACTGTCATTATCAGTTTTTTGGATGGGAAATTGCTCGGTTTGCTACCGTTAGAGGGACAAAAAGCTGGCGAAATGATGTTTGAGAAGATTTCAGCTCTTTTTGAGGAAAATGGTCTGGATATGAAGCGTGTCTGTATACTGGTGACAGATGGGGCTCCATCCATGGCAGGAAAAGTGAGTGGTCAGCGAAATATTTATTTTAATTTGAAAGGGAATTATCAAAATGTTTTTTTGTTAATATTATTGTTTCAAATGTGCAAAAAATAGTTTAGTTATAGCTCCCTTTTTTTTAAATGGACCTCTTGGTGTGCATTTGTGAGAGGTCACCAGATTTACAGGGGAATAGGAATAAAAAAATTACTTGTTTTTCTATACAGTTGTGTGGGTTTGAAATTGATCATGATCTGCTGCTTACTGGCTTCAAAAAATATATCTGGCCCAGATAAATTCCTCGGTTTGAAAATCTGGCCCAACTAACTTCGTAGTTGAATAGCCATGACATAGAGTCTCCACTGTGACAGCAGCAAAGACTGTTTGAGGCTAACTGACCGTTACAGTCGGCTGTTACAAAGTAGCAAAGCTCATTCAGTTACTCTGAACGAATAAACAGTTTTTGTAATCTTTGCAAAATCGGTTTTAAACTAAATGTAATGAAAAATAACCTGTTCCGTTTAACTTCTAACACCATTAGACTGTTTTAGCCTGTTGGCTGACTAATATGAAAACAGATGAATGTATGAATGTTATGTTACAGTAACAACGATCTGCAGCAGCCTGTAAAACAGGGGAGGAGTTACTGGAGGTGTCATCAGGTTGGGCTGAGACGTCTCAAACTTACAGTGTTATGCTTCGTTATTGATCACAGGGCAGTCCAACCAAAAGGCTTCACATGGCTTTAATACTTTAAATTGTTTTCTATTCTCATCGTCATCACATTTAGTCTGGGAATTCACAATTTGTATTAAATCCTAATCTGACTTTCTGAGCCTCCACAGGTGAGTGGGAGTGTCCTGGGAGCTTCTGAATCACTGGAATCGATCCACATACACTGTGATCACAGCGTGTGGTCAGGTGGGGAAACTCTTATTACACTTAAACTCAGCTGCGTGGTTTAACGTTACAGCTCTCGTCATCTGTCTGACTGTATTCGCTCATCGATCCTCTGTAAACTCCAATGTTTACGCTTCTCTCAAAAACAAATGAATAAAATCTGACTGCATCACATTTACAGATGTACGACAAATAAGACTGACATTAAACTCAAACAAGAGTCCTTCTGTTTCAGCATCAGCTGGATTCAACACTATTATAATGCATTCATCCATTCACTGTCACAGTTCCAGAAGTGCATCGTGTGCACAAAGCAGACAAAAGATCCTGCAGTGGTTTTAAGGCCAGCACAGGTCAGAGAGTGCAGACTGTTATTAGCATCGCAGCAGATTCAAACATTCGGGGCAGGGGTCACATAAAATAGTCAACGTTAGTGCATTCAAGCAGCTCTCCGACCCGCCGCAGAAGGACGAGCACTTCCAAATAGCCTCTCTATTAGAGGTGGGAATCACCATACATCCCACGATACGATATTATCACAATACTTAACGCACGATACGATATTATTGCAATTTTTAAAAAATATTTGCGATATTCAGATTCTGTACATAAAGTTAAACTTTATCAATATTCATTTTATCTAATAACAAAGTCTCGCACTCAGTCTTTCTCTCATTTCAGTTTTATTGTTGACAAACTGAACGGTTTGTATTACAGTCTAGTCCAACTTAACTGAATGCAACCATCTGGTACAATTATAACTATTCTGAACTATGCAATATGAAAACTATGCAGCCCCTTCAGTAACTGAAGAATTTGAAAGTAAATTAAAACAAAATATAATTTACATTAAATAAAAAGTTTTAAACTTAATTAAAATAAAACATGTCTTAAATTAAAATAAGTAAACTGTCTTGTTTATTGCTGCCAAAAACAGTTAAACACATTTGGACAGTGTCAGGATTGTTGCTCAGAAAAGGATCAACATGCTCTGAAGTCAGAGCACCAAAACTTTTTTGTAACAAAATATCGATTTCTGCTGTCCCTGTATCGATACATTATTAGAAAACAAAATATCAGGATGCTACACAGTATCGATTTTTTCCCCCACCCCTACTCTCTATCCTATGGCTGGGATTTTACCACAGGTACACACACAGCTGTGTTAACGGGTGCAGACGAACAATGCAACTGAACTTAATAACAAAGTTCAAATGACACAATTGTTCTTTTCTTAGTGCAACACAGAATGACTGATGTCTTATATTGTTAAGATATCAGGTTGGAAAATGTTGAATCAAAGGTTTAAATGACCTCCAGTCAGACAGTGTTGAAAGTCCCTGAACACAGACCTGAGAGGGTGAAACAGCCAAGGAGAGCTACTGTCTGAGGTCAAAGGTCAGACTGTAAGAGAGTCGTCAGGTTCATATAGCTCCATAACCCAAAGCTGCCCCTCCTCACATGGAGACATGGTGATGTATCTTCATCATCCTCTGTATCCACTGACCCTCTGTGCACAGGTACAAACTTTCAGCCTCTCTGCTACACCTGAGCTCATGTTCTCATTTCTCATTGGTCCGTCCAAACATTAGAAATAACCAGTAAAAACAGTGTTCACTGTTTCTACTCCAACATGTCCTAAACTGGACCTCAGGTCCTGTCAGGGTAGTCCTTACAGCAGTGTGTGACCTTTAACCTTATTCATTCATCATAAATGTCTTAATGACACCTTTAGTCCTTCACAGCCTCCACAGAGTGCTGTTGCAGTTATTAAACCCTTCTTTAAGCCTTTTCTACACCATTAAATAAACCCACCATATTATACTGGTCTGTGACGTCACTCAGCAGTGAATCCTTTAAACCTCTGCATCGCTGACTAACAGGACCAGTTTACCGAGAGCGCCCTCTAGTGGCCAAACCTAGCTGTTACACTTGGCAGCGGTCGGCAGCTTTGTGCTCCGTGAATAACAAAGTGACATTTCCACGACAAACTTTCACAGCAGCCTCATCGACCAGCTGCTAACGAAACGTTTGTGACTCACAGTTAAACTTCAACAGTCTTTTACCTGTTTACTAACCAATCAGCTCCCTGCGCATTCAAACTCCCGCTGCTGCTGCTGCTGTGCGCTTTACGGCACCTGGTTTACGGCATCGTGTCGTTCTGTACCTTTCAAAGTAAAAGCATCAGGTCGGTCCAAGCTGCAGCAGAATAATAACCACTTATGAACCAATTTACCAAAAATGAATGATGTCATTTACAACACTGAGTTTGGACTTGAACGGTGTTTTCAGTGTTTTTGCCTCCAGTTGAAGAGTAACGCTGTCAATGATGGCAGAAAGGCACGAAAGCAGAGAGGAAACAAACTCAGCACAGACCAGGCTCAGGGAGGGGCGGGGCCATCTGCTGTGGACGAGAGACAGGTTAATAACAGATATGATTCAATGCAGAGAGGGTTTGTTTGTTTGTTTGTTTGTTTGTTTGTTTGTTTGTTTGTTTGTTTGTTTTTTATGCAGGGAGGTCTAGTGAGTAGGGTTGCCAACTCCCTGAAAAATAAATAAGGGACACCTCGTGGCCAGGGCCGGGCAACCCAGTTGTCTTCACCCTTCCCAGTGTGGTAGCTCTTTTTTTTGTGTGTGAAATTATTCTTTAACCCTTTGACTTGAATTTGATTTAAGCAGATGCATATTCTTTGTGATATGACCATATGTGAAACAAATGATCATTTAGCCATTTATTTTTAGCTCAAAATGACAACATTAACACAGTAAAACAGGTCTCTTTCTTAAACAGAAGCCTGTCATGCTTAACTTTTGAGAATATAAGAAAATCTTTCTTTAAAAGAACTCTGTCCTGCTTAACTTAAAATAATAGAAAACAATAGAAAGCAATAGAACGAAAAACATTCTTGTAACAGTGCACATTTAGTGCATTTAGTACAGTTGGCTTCAGTTGAGGTATTATTTCAGCTTTTCTAATGCTAATCAGCTGCTCCCGTTTGAAAACCCACTTGTTCCCATGATTACGCATCATAACTCATCATCATTATTCATCTATGTATTACTTTTATGTATTAGTCATCTATTTGTTGTAATCATCTATCCTTGCAGTTGTTTATTACACAGAATAAATGATATTATCACACTTCTGGCCACATAGCGCTGATATTCACCGCACATGCCCATATTAACCTTAACCAGAGGGTTTAAAAAACAAACATACCATATCTGCTTCTGCCGTGGCCTGGTGGACAAATTGGTTAAGGGTTCCCCGAGCTGTCACGCCCCTCATGTTCTTCTTGTGCCCACCACTAGAAGCATGCCTATGGAAAAAGTGCGCCGGCACACAGTGCAGTGCGCTTTATAGGTGTTATCGTGCATTTTCCCAGCCAGGTGTTTCCCTTTTCCCATTCCTCCCTGTGCTTTTGCAGCCTTTTTTTCTTTCTTTCTCTGAGCAACAAACATTGCTGCTCTAATGCTGGGCTTACACTGTGCGATTTTTGGCCCATTTTGAGCCGATTTTTGAGTCATGCGACCGATTTGGTGATCGGCCCGATTTTGGCCTTCATCGTGCATCGTGTAGTATACGTGGGGTAACGAGAAGCGATTAATACCTCGACCAGCTCCCGATCATCAATCGCTCGTGAGGGTGTCACCACAGCCGCTCACACTGCTCACGCGCAAACACGTAAACGTTGGTGAAAAAGATGGAGCAGCACGGCTGTGCAGCGTGTGATCTGGACACAAGCGATGGAGGCACAACTTGTAGAACTTTGGAAAGCTCATCCGAGCCTTTTCGATGTGGCATCACAAAATTATCACGACCACAACAACCGTGAAAATAGTTGGATTTACATGCTACTCAATCACAGCTGCCTGATGATGTTTTTCATTAGCAATTTAGCAAAGTTGATGGTGGTGGTGTGTCTGTGTGAGTGTAAGACGGAGAGAGAGCGACAGATTTTCTGTTATAACCTTCATTTTATGGAGGCACAGTGTGAGCACTCAGGTCGCATCAGAGCATCGGGTGGTATAGTGTGAGACCTGCATCGTGACCTATGAACTTCTAACCCCTGCGAGTCAATCGTGCAGTTTGAGCAGGAGCTGAATAACGTGACTGAAAAAATTGCACAGTGTCTGCCCAGCTTTAGGTGTACTGTCGTCCGAGACTTGCACCGCAGTGACGGCGTTTGTTTCCCTGTTGGCCATGCTTCTTGTTGTGGTCAACTGTTGTCTTCCGGTATTTTCTCCGTAAGCGACCTTTCCTCGACCAATGAGATGAGCGGTAATCTGAATTGTCATACTCGAATTGTCATAAGTGTGCTGTCAGCTCATTGGTCACAAAGCAGGAGAGGGGCTGGGAATTATGTTTTCAAACAAAGCGTTAATTCCATTAAAAGTTATAGACTACTTTTGATTCTCACTGTATTACGGGACAAAGTGCGTCCCTTATTAGCTCAATACGGGACGTGTACTTTTGTTTCTAAATACAGGACGATTCCGTATTTTAAGGGACGGTTGGCAACCCTACTAGTGAGTGAGAACGGTGACTGGAAAGGAAAAACTCAATGCATCATGGGAATCCCCCAGCAGCCTACAGCTATTACAGCACAGCTAAGGGAGGATTGAAGTCTATTCTTAAAGGTCGAGATGGTTTGTGTATATATTTATGCTTATATTCATATTCTCGTATTCCCCTTTATTTTATATCCTAACTCTGTGCTATGCTGTCTGTGTTCTGCTACGACAAACTGGATTTCATGGAGGATAAACATAAAGTTCTATCTCTCTATTAAAATCCCCCAAAATAAATGAAATGTGAATTTCAGGCAGACATGTTTTTAAAAGAGTCGCTTAAATGGAAAATGTCAGCTGGTGGGAACGAGCCTCATTAAGACCTCCAGTGACTGTGTTGTTGTGTTTTTAAATCCAGCCAATGGGAGCGTCTGTGGAGATCAGCTGAGGCTGAACACGGGAACAGCATCACATGTAAATACACAAAACACTAAATAAAAGACGTCATTAAATAAGGATCAAATCGACATGCCAGAGGTCAAAGGTCAGTCAGAAGAGGTGTGGTTAAACACTGGCAGTGCAGTGATCAGCATATCCAGGAGCAGCAGGTCAGAGGGGGCGGGGCCATGCCAGGACTTATTTTAAGTGAAGTTAAAAGTGGAGCGACAGCAGCAGTCACACAGAAGTAACCAGCTCTGTCTGCCAGGGTCAAAGGTCAAACAAGTCCTGCAGCTGACCCACACACAGACACACTGATCCACAGAGAGTGATGAATCCACACATCACTCGGCTGGAGGAAGCGGGGTTTCCACACCATCCAATCAGAAACCAGCGTTGACGCTGAGACCCGGGTCTGTGACAGGAAGTCCATGAACAGGCAGACCCTCAGCAGCAGGCTGACCTCTGACCTCTGAGACAGAGGGAGGAGTTTGTGTCAGCAGGGGGCGCTGCAGCATCGCCTGAGAGCTGTAAGAACAACACCAATAAACAGGAAGTGAA